TTTGGGTAGAGGAGTAGGCTTAGAAAGCTATCTTATGTGGGTATGTCACCCCGATAAGATCGTACTCTAACCATGGTTTCGACCCAGCGGGCGGGAACTCGAGTCGTTGAAGACCTCCACGACTGCCACTAACTAAGCCAGATAATCCGCCGAGAAATTCGATTCTCGATAAACATGTCGTATAACCACCGTCCACTCTCGGTTCCTCAATTCCTTCACAGCCCAGACGAGGCTACTGTGGATTCCCTCCTCCTCAGCCTGAACGTTGACCAAATCAACTGCTGCCTTGCTATCGACAGGCAGTACTTGTCTGTACCCCAAGTCCCGCGCTAACATCAAAATTTGCAGCAGCCCCCATATCTCTGTTCCCATATTGGAGCAAAAACTGATGTTCATGACGAAGCCCCCAATATATAGTCCATGATGGTCTCGCAAGAGGCCACCCACACTCGCCATGCCTGTGGAGGTGTTAAAAGCACCGTTGGAGTTGCACTTCACCCACCCCTCCATCGGAGGTTTCCAACGGATCATTCGATCTAACCACTCTGCCCTAATTTCCATAGGCTGGAGCTCGCTTGTTGAAAAATGCCAACATAATTTCGAACTTCATGTAATTTACCATCCACCAGGGGGGTCGTACCATTAAAAACGAGATTATTCCGTTCGTGCCACAAGCGCCACAGGCTAACTCTAAAAGAACATTCCCAACTCTCACCTGGAATATGTAGCTTATTAGTCAAATTGGACTCTAGCCACACATCCAAATCCAGACCGAAAAAACGCATCCTAACAGAATCGAGGCACCACCTTCTTCCAAAACTTGGTCGAAAACTCACAATCACGTAGCACGTGAAGTGTTGTCTCCGGGTGGGATCGGCACAACTCGCACAACGGGCTAGTTGCAAGATGACGCCTATATCGCTCGCTATTTGTCAGCAACCGGTCCTTTGCTGCTAGCCATAAGAACTGGTGAATCCGTTGAGGCCCGACCCAACTCCATATCATCTTCCACAGTCTGCGGTTCACCGGGAAAACATCCGGAGTCAAAGAGCTATATGCCGAGCGAGTTGTAAACTGGCCATTAGTAGACCAACCCCAGAATAACCGGTCACGGCCAACCCTTAGAAAATTTTTTTTTTGAGAAAATGCAGTTTTATATAAGCAAATATTGAAAAATATTAACATTTAGTTTAAAAGAATTGCAGATTTGGATCTGATTTATTTGTTGTTCGAGCGATTTCACCATTGTCGAGCCATTAAGGATGGGAATATGCCGTTAAACTTGTCTCGTTGATATAATTCTACTTAAACTTCAAATCCATCTAAGTTTGTTTGGACAATCAATTATTCAGTCAAAACAGAAACTTTGATCGAATGATTGATCACCCAAACAACAAATATTAGGCTCGAATGCATATCTTTTTAACTATTTTTCAATTGAGGTTGGTATTAAAAAATAATATTGATTAATTATGTTGCATTTTCTCAACATTGGTCCACTAAATGAAACTAAAATTTATATGTAAATACTTATTCAAAGAATTACAAGATTTAAAAGTAAAGAATATGTAGTTGGACAACTCTTTTCAAGTTCCTTTAAAATGACTCAAGCAAGTGAATAATTTGCAAGCAATTTGAACTTCACAATCACATCCATTATTTATTACATATTTCCTATCTGACAATTTTCCCGCTCATTTATCCGGCACGACTAAACTCGAGCAATCGGTGAAAATGGTGGATTGAGCACAAAAGATGGCAACTCATCAAATTGTTCCATTAATTTATCTTCACTATCTTCTTCTTTTGTTTCCTCTTTATCATATACTATCCTCAGCGAATCGGATCGCGACACCTGTCCGCCGGCCGTCATTCTTCCCGAGGCCTCGACTTGGGCATGTAATACGGCTACACAAATCGAGAAAGCTTGCAACGAAGATAACCGCGCGTGGAAATCGACATCGTACAACTTCCCTTCTTCCCCTGTTCTTACCTTCATGGCGAATGCCGGTAAAAAAATGTCCTTTTTACCCTGAAAAAATAGTTCGGTCGAAATATTTCGACCGTCCACCAGCAAAGCATTGTTCGGACAACTAAAAACGTCGATAGGACACGCCATGTCCCATCCGCCGCAGTCGCACCCGCCACCTAGCCTCCACCGATCGATCAATCGAGAAGGCCGGTCGCCGCCAGCTGGCGAGCCGTGGGCCCCTCCTGGGACCAAGACATGAGTCTCGGCTGGAGGACGCGAAATTCCGAATATGCCTTCCTCTGTTTTTTTCCCCAAACGAGCCTTCACAACGACAGCCACGATTTCTAGCTCGGGCGAATATTCGAACCGAGCATTATTATTTTCACATGAATTATTCTTGATCTCGTATAACACAAACTCTGTCATTACGAAATTTTCGCACGGATTGCACGAGACGTGCATTTGAGCCAACATATTGTGTGATAATGCTCGATTTCCATTGTTCTTATGACTCGTCTTTTTTCCTCCCTTGTGAAGGGAATGGAATGTGTAAACCCAATTGAAACCGTATTCTGCTCGTTCAATCTTGGCCAAGTAAAAATCGTCGGGCGATGACTTAACCGAGAACTCGAAAAAGGGGACCCCGCCACGCCTTTTCCCGAGCTTGAGAAGGCCATGCAGGTGAGCTATAGAAGAAGAAGAAGACTGCATATTCTCTTTTCCCTCATTTGTTCTTTTGTTTGAATTACTCGACGGGCTTCTTTGAAGCTTGGATTTAACAAAAGGGTCGAACATCTTCTTGACGGGTTTAAAACGCGACTTGATTTGTGGCCCGTTCGAAGCGCTCATCACGGCCCCACCAACTGATTCGGTTGGAACCATGGAAGCCCACGAGCCCGAATCTATATTATGGCTACAAACCGAAGTCCCTTTTCCCGAGAGTGAAGTTACTATTGGCCGATCTTCATCAGAAGTGCATAAAGAATCAATAATTTCAAAAGAGAAGCCGCAAGGAGCATTTTGTTGTGAGAGCTCGATTTTCTTCCTTTCGACTGAAGTCCCTTTAATCGTAGTTTTTGATAGTACAGTAGTTGGGCTTTGTCTATCTACAAGACAGTACTTGTCGAAATCTAAATCCATGTCTATCTACAAGAAAATTCGAGTAAAGCTCGTGAGGTACACTTGTTATGAGTTGTTATCAAGAGCAAACATAATTGAAATACTATATATGTTCTTGAATGCATGAGAATTAGTTAATGAACATTTGCATAGAAACTAAGTGCAGAACCGAATCACACGCAAACTCAAAGAGCATAACGAACTGAAAAAACCGACATTATGTTACGCGATTTCACTAAATAAGAGCTCATCTCTCCCCATTTTAGTCTTCCTACAATCAATCGACTTTAAGAGTCCTCGGTGAAAAATGCATAGAATCAGATAACAAGATCACAAGAAACGACTGCAATAACACAAAAACCGAGACAAATAGACGTAAAAAATCGACCATACCCATGTCTTCAAGCCAAATTACAAGAGGATGATAGCTGATCAAGATAGATTGATTTTACATACATTTCAAGATCTCATACACACTAAGTCTCACACAGAGCCTTCTGATCAAGATTCAAACTTTCATCCAAATTAATTGGAGCTGAAATTTGTCACAGAAAAGAGTAAGCAAAACTAATAATCATGAGAAAGAGAGAAAATGGAGGAACTTTATTTTTCTTCACTTACACCACAGTAGACTTTGTATTCCAAGCTAATGAGAGTGGAATTTGCAGTGGAGAAATTTGGCCAATAAAGCCAAAAAAATTGTTCTTTCTTCTCTTCACCTCAAAAGCTTGTCTGAAAAAAATAAAATTAAAATATAAAAAAAAAAAAAAAAAAAAAAAAAAAAAAACAAAAAAAAAAGATCAAGAAAATCAAGAAAACAAGACTGAAAAGCAAAATAAAGATAGAAAAATTGAAGGGTTTCTTAGCCCACCAAATAGTAAAAAGATGATGAGATGTAAAGAAAGAGAATAGTGCATGCCATGTTTTCCAAAATCAAAACTTTTTTTTTTTTGGGGTTTTTTCTGATTTTTTTATTTTATTTTTTATTGTTTTTGTTTTGATTATACCTTCATTCATTCATTTGGGCAGCAGCCAAAAGAGGATAAAGAGAGACACAAAGGTCACTTTATACAGAGTATCTCTGTTTATGTCCACAAGAAAATGCAAGGACTCTTTTGACTCAGAATCTTTATATGTGTGTATATATATATATATGTATATATATATATATATATATATATTGCCATTTTTTCATGTAAAGTATATGTGGGAAGACAAGGTAAAGGCTTCATAACTTTAAACTTTGGGGGACTCTGTGTCTTTAGTTAGTTGGGTTACTCATTGCAATAATCATTCCTCCATTTAAATTATACTTTTCTCTATGCTATTTTTCTTTTTCTTTTTTTTT